CTAACAACAGCCGTAAATCTACTGGTGGAGGTGTCCTTGTAGCTGTCCGTGGCGGGTTGGAGGAAAAAGCCATCGAGAACGATTCATGGAACTATTTTGTGGAGCAGGTTTGGACAACCATCATCTGGGTGATCGCACACTATTTCTATGCGCTCTGTACATTCCACCTGATCGCGCCCGAGACAATAACTGTCGGTCAGTTTTCGCAGTTTCCCAGTTCTGCCAGGCGTTTCGTGGAGTTCATCTCATAGCGGATTCCTGTATCCAGATCCTGATAGCTCTATATTTCACGCAGGAGCTATAAGCCTTCTCGACAACTACAGCGCAGCAACGCTTTCTCAAATTAACCATGTAGTTAACGAAAATGATCGTCGTTTGGACCTCTGCTTCGTGAGCAGACAGGACAGGGCTCCATTAATTTCCTCGGCTCCTTGTGCACTAACTAAGCTAGTTCCACATCACCATCCTCTAATTGTCACTGTAGAGGACAAACTCGTGCGTGATTTCGACGACCGTAGCATCATAGATGTATTGTCTATTGATCCAGATGACGTTGAGGCTGCAGCGCAAACCTTTTCACATGTCTTGGCATATGTCATTGACAGACACGTCCCGAAATGAACTCCCCACAAAGTGTCTCAACCTCCCTGGCAGACGAGAGAGCTACGTAGGTTGAAGTCAATCAAGGGAGCAGCATTGAGAAGATTTACGAAGTATCGCACGCTTCCTCTGAAACTACATTATGTGAGGCAGAATCGCATGTACCAGCGAGTCAGTCGGGAATGCTTTTCAAGTTTCCAACGAGACATCCAGCACAAACTTAAGCTACACCCGAAATCCTTTTGAAACTACGTGAACAAGCAACGCAGGGAATTCGGCCTCCCATCGTCTGTGGAATTCAACGGAGAAGTTGCTGCCACCGTTCAGGATATATACCGCCTTTTTTCCGACAAGTTTTCTAGTGTATTCACTAATGAGATACTAACGGCAGCCAGCAGGAACGTTCCAGTAAATAATCAAACGCTGGGTGCAATTGATGTTAATGCTGAGATGATTTCCAAGACCGTGGCTCTGCTCAAGTCATACTTCAATCCTGGACCTGATGGAGTTCCATCTGGTGTTGTTTCATCGTTAAGTTCCGTTTCAAAGCTATTCGAGTTAGTTATTATTGAACTGTTTCTGTCCCATTGTAAGCAGTAGGGTGGAGCGCTACTTCGTTGTAATCGCCCATTTCCGTTCTATCGATCAGAAAAGATCAATAATATCAATGATTTCACCACCGACAAACCGAGATGAATGACCATAGCAAAAACAATAAATTTTCTGACCACAACACACTACTGACATCTGGCTCCGTATTCGCGGGAAATATTTAGCTAAGCCATGAACCCGTATGCTAAAGTTATGAATTGGTTCGTGTCTGATCTATTCTGGACAAATTATTTTTGTCTAGATCAAAAAATCCAATGGTTTTGACAGTTCGGATCACTGCACATTTAAATCGGCCGTTTACGATTTTCGGGCATAAGTCAGAATGTCGGTTTGTTGGTTATTTCACCGTGCACAAATCAATAATAGGTTTGTTCCGATGCGTTACTTCATTAGCTACAACATAAATCCTGTAAGAGCCGTGACCAGTGGGCGACGATGAAACTAATCGAGACGGGGCCACCGAAAGCATGTCGGATCGGGTTCAAACGGACGTTATTTATTCAGACCTATCCGCAGCATTCGACAAGTTGAACCATGCTATTGCGATTGCTAAACTCGGCAGGCTCGGTGTATGCGGTAATCTTCTGAGTTGGTTTCGGTCATATCTTACCGGTCGCCAATTAAAGATTGCCATAGGAGATTGCAGATCAGCTAGCTTCTTCGCCACATCAGGTATACCTCAGGGAAGCAACATGGGACCGTTGATTTTTATACTGTACTTCAACGACGTGCATCTGGTCATCGAAGCTCCTCGGTTATCATATGCAGATGACCTCAAAATGTTCCTACGAATCCGCTCCATTGCTGACTGTCGCTTCCTTTAACGTCAGCTGAATGTTTTCGCTAGTTAGTGCAGCTTAAACATAAAGCTGGGTTTAGATAGGGCAAGTCAAATGATCAACTCAGTTGAATTCAATTGGCTTGAAAAGTTGAGCCTGGTTTTTTTCAATTCAAGTGAGTTGATCAAGTCAGTTGAATGGCATGGTTTACACGTTCAATTCGCGTTCAAGTCAGTTAAATTCAACTGACTTGATCAATTGACTTGCCCTATCTAAACCCAGCTTAATGGTAGTGAACCCAGCCAAATGCTCCGCTATGACGCTCTCACGAAAACAACAACCGATAATATTTAGCTATGACCTGCTTGGCTCGATAATCGAACGCGTGAATCGGGTGAAAGACTTGGGTGTGATCTTGGATTCGCAGCTATCATTCAAGCAACACATTGCATATGTTGTCGATAAGGCAAGGCGTCAAGAACTTTAGGGTTCATTTTTAGGATAGCTAAAAACTTCACCGATATCTAACTCTCTTTATGATTCGCTTGTTCGATTGACGCTTGAGTATTGTTCAGCGGTTTGGAACCCAAACTACAACAACGGTGCCTTCGTTTTGCGGTGTTTCGAATACCCAGTTACGAAAGCCGTTATCAACTTATCGACCTAGAACTTCTCCGGACTAGAAGAGACACAAGCAGAGCCTTAACCGTGGCCGATATCCTGCAAGGAAGGACAGATTGCGAGGCTATCCTGAGGCAAATTGACCTGAATGTTCAACCCGGACCACTTCGTAACAACCTTATGCTAAGACTGCCTCTACGTCGCACAAATTATGGAGCATACGGTGCGATTTTCGGACTACAGAGACAGAGTTGCATCTGTTTAGACTTTCATCTCTCCCGTGATGCCCTTCGTCGAAAGTTTTCTTCTGTTTTGATTTTTTTTTTGTTATATAGTAAAGACTGGAACGCGCAAAAATTGATCGACAAAAAAATCGTTTCTTTCAGTCAAAATTCATATCACAAAAATCTTCTTATTTTTCTTTTGGTAGTTCAATTCGTATACTTAAAGGAAAAAAAGGTTCGTTTATTCTTTTGGTTTGCCAAATCCGAACTGCCGTGTTGCCAGTTAGATTTAAACTGCTGCTCGTTTTCAATGGATTTATTAGATTTTTTGAGATTCCGTTTGACCAAGGCCCAATACCGTTCGATAGGGTGGAGTTCTGGGCGGTTGGGAGGGTTGTGGTCTTTGGGTACCACAACCACGTTGTTCGCATCGTACCATCCGATTGACTTTTTCCCATAGTGGCAGCTCGCCAAGTCCGGCCAGAACAGCACAGATCTATTATGTTGCTTTAGGAATGGTAGCAGCTGCTTTTCCAGGGACTCCTGGACGTAGATCTCTTGATTGATGGTTCCCGTAGTAATGAAAAAGCCGCTTTTTAGACCACATGTGGCCTGCCTGTGCGTGGCCTGTCCATGACGACACAGTCGAACTTTGTGAGCAGATTCGTATACAGCTTTCGGGACCGCTGCTTTGCCGACGTGTTTTATTTGTAATCTCGGTTCGCCACCTTCACCTTCTTAAAGTCGTCAACCCGGCTCGTTTCTTGGCCCGCTGAACAGTAGTATCGGAGACATAGAGCTTCCCAGCGACGTCCCGGATGGAGAGGTTAGAATTCCGCTTATATTTCACCGCCACCTTCTTCGTCGTCGCTGCCACGTCCGGATTTCGATTGCCGCCACTTCCAGGCTTCCTGGCGGTCAACAGACGCTCTCCGAACGCTTTTAAAACGTTTGTCACGGTCGATTTGGCCACATCCAGCAATTTTGCCAACTTGGCGTGTGAGAACGTCGGATTCTCTTGCTGCGCAAGCAAAAATTTGACACGCTACTCCTCTTGCTAGGACGTCATTTTGAAAACTATAGCAAACGGGGAAAACTCATCATAGCAACCATTGTATATACACTCAATTTCCAAATGCAGCATTTCAGATTTTTTTTTAATGCATTTTTAACAGAAATACACCAATTCGAAATTAACCAATTTTTGCGCGTTCCAGACTTTAGTTGATAAGGTTAACATCATTGAGGCTTCATCCAGCCTGTTGATGTGAAACAACAATAAAACAATAAAACAACCAAGTGACTCTGCAGGTAGAGCCGGAAATGACAGCAGTATATCAAATAAAAAAAATTGGTTAGCTAGAACCTGAATCACTTCAATGAAAAAAAAAAACTCAATACGTCATCGTTTCTCAGTATTCTAGTACATAATGAGTAGTCTTCCAAAATAGATAAGTAGAACAATGCGTTCTTGGGGAAGTTTTGCACTATACCGCAATAAAGCTTCTGGACTAGCTGATAGCACATTCGACTACCTGTAAATTCTCATGACAGATCACAAATACAGTCATCGTCAAAGGGTGATAAGGTCAAATATTTTCCAAAATGACTAACTCCATCCCTTGCTTGATAACCTCTTGGCCCACATTCTTCTTTTTTTCGATGCTGACCAACCTTAAGTCTTCCACGTCATTATCTACTATGGTGATGATTGTTCTCAACAGATAACAAAGGTTCATTCACCGGGTCGGTTTCTTCTGCTGCTGAACAGTCTCTCCGTCAGTACACGAAACAATCGCGATTTTGTGAACACTCAACCAGATTCAGGTTTAACCATCATAAAACAACGAGTGATAATTATAGTAGAGGATAAGAAACTGTCGTCGCGTCGTTGTGTTACGCCCATCTGCATGGTGGTAGTGCATATGTACAGTGAATGTGATAAACCGATCTGTACCCTTCATCATACTCCCTTGAATTATAGACGTAGGAAGGAAACGGAATTTTACACAATCTACCTAGTCATACTTTCACTGCGTCGTAGTGCGCCACCGACAACAAAGTATCATCCTCAGAACAGCATATTGACTATTGACGATGATCTGCGAAATTTCGACGATTTACTACAACCACTAACACAGTCCCTCCCGTTGATTGTTTACAGCTGATACCAGCCCAGTTCATCATTCGACTGCAGCAGCTCGAGTCGAGCTCGAGGAAGGAGAGCACGTGTTGAGAGTGGTGATCTTCAATTCTACCCGTTCCCAACTATAGAGAGTAACCCAGCAGTATAGTGTTCACAGCAACAGCGGCCCACGATGGCAACTAGGAAAAAAGTTCTCCTGAAAGTGATCATCCTCGGCGACAGCAGCGTCGGCAAGACGTCGCTCATGAACCAGTATGTGAACAAGCGCTTCTCGAACCAATACAAGGCCACGATCGGAGCTGATTTCCTGACAAAGGAAGTGGTGATTGACGATCGGGTTGTGACGATGCAGGTAAATTCATAATTGGACGCATTCGATGTGTGTGCATTCAATTAGCTAATACGATGTCGTTACGGATGATTTCAGATTTGGGACACTGCCGGACAGGAACGGTTCCAGTCGCTCGGTGTGGCATTCTACCGCGGAGCGGATTGTTGCGTGCTGGTGTACGATACGACCGCGCCCAATACTTTTAAAAATCTGGAATCTTGGCGGGACGAATTTCTGATCCAGGCCAGTCCACGCGATCCGGACCACTTCCCGTTCGTGGTGCTGGGCAACAAAATTGATCTGGAGAATAGGGCTGTAAGTATTTTGGAAACATCGGTAAAGCGCTTGATTGACGATTGATGTTCCCGTGTGTCTTTTAAGGTGTCAACGAAACGTGCGCAGCAGTGGTGTCAAGCCAAGAACGATATTCCATACTTCGAAACGTCGGCCAAAGAAGGCATCAATGTAGACCTTGCTTTCCAAACGATTGCCAAAAATGCGTTAGCCCAGGAGAGTGAGGTAAGTGCTGTGATTTTGGTTTGAACATTTTAAACCCCTTGCGAATGAATCCCTCCCCCTAAATCATGATCTGGAAAAGTTTTATTTAAATTGAAAAAAACCAAATTTTTTATGTGTTATGATTTGTTTAAACAAGAATTCATATTTCAATCGAATTGCAAAAATTCATATTATATTCTACCAAAAATGATGTCTTGCGAAAATGATGCTCCATTTGAATGGCTCTGAGTTCTTCGAAGGTAAAATTTTTGAAAAGTTAGTTTCGGTTTTTTCAAAAAAAAAAAAACTCACCGGGAACGCGCAATGCTTGACCCTAAACGAGGTCAGCAGAAGAGCACTTCATATCTTCTCTATAACACCAAATAAGACAGTTGGACAGATCAAACCGCTCATTTGTTTATTTGTTATGGTTGCATCACCAGACTAGAAATAGTCCCAATGATGTGTTGTAAAAAAAGTACAGATTATACAGACGACATACATATACTACAGTTACTACAGTTACAAACGAAAATAACTAGGAAAGCATTGTCAAGTTACTAAAAATTTATAAGTCTTAAATTTTACACTTAGCTGTTGGGCATCAAGCGCCTTCGGTGAGCAAAAAAGGCAGAGAATCTTCGGCGAAGCATATTCCGTGTCAAGTGGAAATCGAACATCGACGCTACTCGGTTGAACACTAGCTGCAAGCCGTAAATAGCGCTCCCTATGCTATAATTAGTTCGAAGAAGTGGAAGTTTCAGCATAAGACTGTTGCCTAGTGATCGAGGTTGAACATTAATGTTCACTTGTTGCAGAATTGCTTCGCAGTCGATTCTTCCTTGCAGAGTATTGGCGACGGTTAAGGCTCTGAAAACATCTCTTCGGATACGTAAGGGCTCGATATTGATCAATTGGCAGCGATTCTCGTAGCTTGGAAGACGAAGTGGGTATCTCCAAGGCAGCTTACGGAGCGCGAAGCGAAGAAAACGTCGTTGAACAGATTCAATTCGCTCGGCCCCATTATTGTAGTTCGAGCTCCAGACAGCAGAGCAGTATTCCAACGTAGATCGTACGAGAGAGCAATAGAGCGATTTCATGCAGTAAATGTCCGTGAAGTTCTTAGTAATCTTGAAGACAAAGCCAAGCGTTCTGGACGCTTTGTCGACTACTTACGATATATGGTGTGAGTATGTCAGCTTTGAGTCTAGAAAAACGCCTAAGTCTTTCACGCAGTGCACCCGTTCGATAGTCGTGCCTAGTAGTTTGTAGTTGAAAATAATCGGTTGTTTCTTGCGTGAGAAAGTAATAACTGTACACTTATCTGGGTTGACCACCAGTCGGTTTAGACTACACCAGTCAGCAAAGATGTCAATCTGATTTTGGAGAGAACGGTAGTCGGCGAGTGAGCGGACGGCTTCAAACACACTAGCAAATTTGGCTGATAACAGGTTGCAAGTGTCTTGTTGATTTCCAGCAGTTTCACCATTAAAAATCATGGAAGAGGGTAAGCCGACTTCCCTGCGTTGCTCATTTACGAAGTTCCAGAAGGATTTCGGGTGTGATTTTATCCGCCGTTGAATCCTCCTTTGATAGCGTTGAAAACAGAGACGACTTAACCGCTTATACTCGTGGTTGAGTCTGACATAGTAGCATTTCAGCGGCAGTGTGCGGAGTTTAGTAAATCTTCTGAGAGCAGCCTTTAGTTCTTTTCAACGAGCGAAGATCTTTCGTCAAAAGGTTTGTGCAGCAATGTTAACGTCTACAGGATCTAGAATATGCTCCCAATCTAGGTTAGACAGCACATGGACGATACTGCGATGGTCAGCTCTACGGAAGTCATATGACACAGCGTTTGGAGTGCTGGTGAAATCATGGACAATATTATTTTCGATCACGATAACTAAAGCAGGGTGATGATGCACTACCTTGACTAAAGGTTCGGGTGCCGTGGAGAGCAAAGGAGATGTATCACGAGCACTCACAAAGCAGAGATCCAGGGTGCGGTTGTTTTCATTCAACAGGCCATTGGACACAATTGCGGTACTATAACTGTCCAGGAGCTGGATGGTTCCTACGTGGAAAGATGAACGCTCGTGATCAGGACAAAAGAAACCACTATGGGTTGGAGTCCATACAATGTCCGGTAGGTTAAAATCGCCAAGAACAATAACTTCGTCGGAAGGGCCTGCTTTGTCTGAAGAGGCCAAGACGGATCGACAATGTGCGTCAATAAGCTCCAAGTCACGGGTTCGATCTGGAGGAATGTACACTGCACAGAGAAGCAATTGACGATCACCAAGTTGAATAGTCACCCACATTTGTTCAACCCCCATTTGACAAATCGAATTGCGGACAAACGAAATGCTTCAGTGGCATGTCGGTTCGTCGGTGCCTGAAGTTCCACTCCTATCTCACAAATAACTCCCTCAACCGTCGCATTATCATGTCATGCCTGCTTGACATTCTGGCTCAAACTAGTAAAGTCCTCTCGAATCCATCTCAAACGAATTCATGTCGCAATCAAGCCCAGATAACTCAGCCAAGCCACCTCTTTCTAAGCAATCTCTCTATCTAAATTTCGCAAAGAAAACGAACTTTGTAGGCGGCTGCTATTAGACGGATCTCTCTGATTTGGTATTGTGTATATGGAATGACTACTGAATTATAAAAAAATATATGTCTTGACTTGATAATTATCCGCTCCTTCGTTAACATACAGTTACAGATATTCTTGAGTGAGTTTACTTCCGTGTCCCGATCAATTTTCGGTGAAATCCTACAAATTGCTAGAGTTTTAAATTAAAAAAAAAATAAAAACGGCATCAAAAGAATGTAAACATTCTTGGCTCTAGGCAGTGCTGCCAGAAAATATTGAAAAATAGGTTCTCATGGTGGTGAACACGGTGTTCCGCGAAAAAAAAATACCCATTTTCAAACCATGTATGCAGCTGTCAAAAAATAGGGGATTTTTGAAATCATAAAATGGGTGAAAAAATACCCATTTAAAGAATCAGTACACGGTTGAATAATGGGTATATTTTTTACCCACTAATGGGTGAAAAAACATTCAAAATATCATCGTCTCATTTCCGTCACCGATTCATTGGGAATGCAAACAGTTACTGTCCGCAGCATATTTAGCGAAAATAGACGATCTCCGGAAAGTGTTAGAATCCGAAACGTTGGAGAGGCTTACGGATAAGTCAATACAAATTATCCAATATGGTATTATAATATTTCGTGTAAAATTTGAGCGGAACACCTGCATTTATTTTCAATGTATTAGAAAGTTTTTTACATCAACGAGCGCTTGCATCCTCCATTTGTAAAAATGGGTATTTTTTCACCCATTTTACGGTAAACACAATTTAAGAAAATCGGTGAAAAAACACCCATTTATTGACAGACCACCCATTTACCCATTTATAAGCAAACCATAGTTTACCCATTAAATGAGGAGGGGCACTTTTAGCGGAAATGAGTATTTTTATACCCATTAATGGGTTTTCGCGAAACACCGTGAAGGGTGTTTGAGTGTGTCGAAGAGTGTATTTAATGTGTTTAACACAAGGTGGCAGAATGACTTACCGCCTGATTGGACGTTCTGTTTTACATGATATTAGATTCCCTTTCACAGATTTCAGAGTACGTAACTTTAGATTTTCCCCGCCTTTAGAAAATGAGCACCAATCATGTTAGGCAGTCCAAATGACCGAAGTAACAATCATGTACCCATAATTTCAAACTGTACGTTGGACAATTTTTGATCTATGATTATCTTAAATAAATGAAAGTAAATTTGGATGGGTGTTTTGTATAACATACAATGATAAAAGAGTAGTAGTTTTGTATCACTTAACTCGATTTGTTTACATTTGTTACTTAGGACCTTTTGAAAAGTTACGCGAGAATTGTTCATGCATTTTGTTTTGTATTTGTATGGACCGTAGACAATCACCAATTATCTACCCCTCCCCCCTTAACCTATATATGTAGTTTATGAACAGCCCCTTTAGAAAAAAAGAGAGGATAAATCAAAACAAGTTCACGATTATGTATTCCTAAATATACCTGTCGAGATTTAACTACAGTGTTCAATGTTCAGTCGGATATGTTGAACCCAGTGGCGTCTCGTCCATATGTGCACCTCGTGCACTGCACAGTCTCGAATTTTCAAAAAGTGAAATTTATATTTCATAAAATTTAAGAGGCAAAAAATTAATACTCAATCAAAACCATTTTTGTCCCCCCTATTTATTGGTTTCATATGGATAGTAACTGAATTGTCCACCACATCACTGGATAGTAGCTGAATTGCTTACCACATCGCTGCTCAACCTCCGTTTTACCCGCCACTGAAAGAAAAGTAAGTAAAAACAGAAGCGAGGCATAGCGAGCTTGTTTTCACGTACGGGTACGCTGGGATTTTACCACGTGCAGACAACTCATTTTGGGCTTCTATGGCGTGGCGAATGAGCGACACAAAACAAGCAAGGAAAATATGCCTTCGTTCTACCAAAGCCACCGCATGCTTAGTTCTCCCAGCCTGAGCACTTTTGCTTGTGCACCAGAAACGCTCGTATTTACAACCAGATCAGTTGCATATGTATTGAAGTCCCGTGAGCATAATTGCCGATGTGTTAGTGTTTATTTTGTGCACTTCTATCTTTGCACAGTTTAAAGAGAAGAGAATAAATTGGCATGTATAGGCAACGTCGAATTTGAGTTTCTCTCTGAATTGATTGAATCTTGGAGAGCCGTCATTCGTTGTATACTTACCTATACGCACACATCGAATTTTTAAATTTTTAAATTTTCCTACTACCTGACTGCATTACATTCAGTAGTCTCAGCACATTGATGGAATATTGTTCATAGCATAGTGCAAAATTAAATAGGAATCATGGAACAGGATATTGTTAATGACCTCCTGAAAAGACCGTTTGCCAGAAGATCCATAAAGGAAAAAATGCTTATTGCGAGAAAAGACGTCCCACGGCCAAAGTTGAACAACTTGA